CTTTCTTTCTTTCTCTCAGTCGAGTCCCGCATTTCACCGTTTGCTTCAGGTATTAAATAATTATTATTTCGAAAGCGGGAGAGTCAGAGTGTATATGTAATCGCGGCGCCAGTCGTACGAGGAAAGGAGAGGCGCAACGTTGGCCTCCGTGTAATTGTGGCCCAGATTCGGCGTCCTTCCCTGCGGCAATGCTGTACCACTTCCTGTATATCCCTCGCGCGCGCGCTCTCTCTTCCACTCTTTCTCTCTCTCTCTCCCGCCTCCCGTGTGCCCTCATCTGTAACGCGAAGCAATTGCCCCGGCGCGATGCGCACATCTTTTTAAATATCCCCGGATTGATTCGCTTCTATATTTTCGCGACTGCGGTGACGCAATTATTTTACGTTGAATTCTTTGTGGATTTTCAACGGATTGTACGTCGAAGAAATGTTGTCTTCTGCCTCGTCTGAGGTACAGATATAAATAATGACGGCATTTCTTCGTAAACGAGAATCTTCCGCGAAACTCTGGACGATTCTATCTTCTTTTTTGTCTCTTTTTTTTCGCCGGTACATTTCCGCAGAAAACCTCTCTTACGCGGGCACGAGGTGTGACTGATTGTACAGGAAGCGCGTATCGCACGTTCTTTTTGTCGTTCCGCGAAAACGCCGCATTCTTCAGTGCGTGTCCCCGCGCACTCGCCAAGCGTATTTTTGCGACACGCGACACGCGGCATTTTCACCGCTTTTTGTGTAAATCCACAGATTTGCGTGCCGCACGAGAAGCGTGTGCGGCGTGCGAGATCTTGAACTTGAAAGGTCGAATCGCGCTTACATAATCCCGATTAGAAATAATGAGTTACCGCATCACACTTGCGATTTTTGTAAGAGCGTATAACATTGGGCATGTCCTTCATTAAACAAATTCGTATCTTATTGAACGATCTGAACAATGTTGAGAAAATTAAAAGAATCTGAATTTGAATAATAAAAAATGTTGAAATCCTTGTACGAGGTGAAAGACCGCGCGACGGGCACATTCCTGTTCAATCTATACAGCTAAAGTGTAATTTACATTTCGATCTTGTTGAATATTCATCAATTAGGCATTTTAATCTATCACGTTTCCTTAGCCAAAAATTCTAATTGACGAATTTCAGTCGAACTTCTCGATAGGCGCGAAATATCAATGACTTACAATGACTTATTCGCGTTTCATCGAAGGACACCGTTTTGAAACCGGGACGAAAGTCAAGTTAAGTTAAGTCGTATAAAGAAAGCGTGGGACGGCGTCATCGTTATCGTCATGACCTAATCCAATCTCCGAGACGCGACAGGAGAAATTCTTCTTCCGATCTTTTTGCTTACGCGCTACGTAATCGCACCTTTCGTTCTACCCTCTCTCTCTCTCTCTCTCTCGCTCCCTCGGTCCCTCGTGGTCGCTCGTATTTTTATGCGCTCTTCTCTCGCGCGTTGCGCAACACGCCGCGCGTGGCCGCAAATTCGTGCGGGGCCCCGGCATAAATTTCACTGTCTCATCGTCTCATCTCGGCTCGGCACGGCTTCGCATGTTTAACTCGCGCGTCGCGTCGTCACGGCGATAACTCAAAAAACAATTTCTACCGCCCCATTTCCGTTTGTGTGCCCGACGTAATCAAGAGGTATATCGCGTAATTCGGCGAACCAAGTTACTCGTTTTCAGCCAGCACGTACGGAGAATCTTCCTTTTCTCCCCGGGAGGCTCGCAATCGCGCGGTGTGCAAATAAAGCTTCCGTGCGATTAAAAAGAAGCCGGATGAAAATCCGACGAAATCGAGGAAGGTAGTTAGTCGGCGGGAACGTGACACACGAGCATTACGCGTTTCGACAGGCTTTGCGACTTGCGCAAGAAAACCGCGGGCGATAATAATACTGTCGCCTCTCCGCGGCCGTTCCAAAAGACAGATGTCTTGAAACGGATATCCAATTATTTCGCGCCGCACGGTTAAGGAGGGTCCACATTATCGAGCAAAACCGCGAGCCGAACTTCGCCGCGAACCGATCATGCGTCCACATTATCGAGCCAAACCGCGAGCCGAACTTCGTTGCGAGCCGATCATGCGTCCACATTGTCGAGCCGACGGACTCGCGCGAGGCTCGCGAACCTCGAATCGAACATCAGTGCGAACCATCGCGTACTCACCCCACGAATCTGCAAGGATTTTGATGATACGCGGTTTGGCTCGCAGTGTCCCACCAAAAGTCGGTATTCCGACGAAACATCAAAAGATGCTTTTTATGATCAGATTATACGCTTTGTCGGGTGGTAGACTGGTAGTTAAGCTTCGAGCTAGACAAATAATGACAAAAAACAAAAAATGAACGATGAAAGAAAACGTGAGTAATTGCCCAGTCGCTGTATTTGATTCTATCCATGTATGTGCAGTCTACACGACTACTGGTAGACAAAATGGAATGGTCTGATAAAAAATGTTTAAAATTAATTAGTGATTATGAGCAGAAAAGATTATTATATACGGGACGCTAAAAATCCCAAACATTATAACAATTAAAAAAATGCATATTTATATTTACAATCGTATTTTTAACGTTGCAATATATATTATAAATTTATTGCGTATTTATCATAGATTTAGAGTATGTTTGTGCAATATTAAATATAGTTGGTACCACTCTAAATATAGTTTTATGGTTTGAAAAGGAATTAAGCTTTGAATACAAGAAAATAATAAAAGCACGCATATGTATACACATATTTAGTCGTCTTTTCCTGTTCTCATACTTTTTTTATAAGAAGAAATAAGTAAAGAACTCGAATGTGATAGTGACATGTGCAAAAAAAAGATGACGACATTATTGGCATCTCTGCAAAAAGAAAAAGCAAAAATAAAAAAAGTATGGAAACAGGAAAAGGTGAGTGAATATATGTATATGTGCTTTTATTATTTTTCTGTATTCAAAACTTAATTCCTTTTCAAACCATAAAACAAAATTTAGAATTAATATTGCATAAACATACTCTAAACCTGTGATAAATACGCAATAAATTTATAATATATATATTGCAATGTTAAAAAATACGATTGTAAATATAAATATGCATTTTGCATACATGTATTAAGAATTTATATAAATTTTATTATAAATTTCAATACGAGATTTGACTTCAAAAAATTTTAACTCATGTTCGCGGTTCGCGATGGAGTTCGATTTGAGGTTCGTCTGCAAGTTCTGCTCGAGGCTCGGTTCGGGACTCGGTTCGCGGTTTGGCTCGATAATGTGGACCCTGCTTTACAGATCTCCGCGGCTAATGGAATTATGTGAGAGCCACGTAATTGCGTCCTTGCGCGATCGAAAACCGCAAAACTTTGCGCGGCCGTTGTTTCTTCCGCGCGTTCGGGCACTCGTGAAGAAATGAAGAAAGGAAGACGCTTCTTGGCGCGTGCGCGCCCCAGCGGAAATTGAGTTTTACGCGCGCACAAATATATATCTCCACGGTGCGCGATTTTTCGACGCTAAAAATCGGCGTTATTTATCGTCGTTAAATCGGAAAGCGTTCTGGCGTACCGCGCGGTGAAACGCGCTCGCCAGTACGGAAGTACGCGTCGCACGTCCGCCGTCATTTCGGCGAGAGAGAGAAGTCCAGCTGTTCCTTCCTTCCTTCCTTCCTTCCTTCCTTCCTTCGTCTCCTTACGGCGACTACGCGCTTAATTGCCGCGACAGGTCGCTTTCCTCGTGCCGCGCGAAGCGAAATCTAATCTCGCAACACTTCGATGATTCGGTGTTCACGGTTGCGCGAGTTTCTTCCCTCTCGTCGTATAACGCGTGCTTCAACAGTCGCAGTGACGTTGTTAACGATAACGTTCTTGCGGCGCAATTAACGAGATTATGCGAAATCCTGACGTATGAGTCGTTCAACCCGGAATACGGGGATCCTTTCCTGACATTTACGATTATTTTTCCGCCTTGCGCACCGATACAGCGAAGTTGTGTAGTTTAGCATTGTAGATAAGCGTAGGTGACGGAAAGAAAGAAAAAGGAAGACATCTCGTTTAAACGTTGAATCTAAGATAACATGTATTCAAGAGAATTTACATAACGGTATAACTAGTTACTAGTTACTTAATGGAAAGTTATTAATTATATTGCTTGCTCGTAATATCTCACTGTTAAATATTAAAGGAGGAAATTTAAACTAATATCTTGAGTTAAATGACATTTTGTTATTTTTAACTATCATGTGTGTCGAAATTTATTATTTCAACACAAAACAGTATTATTTTAACTCCATTGGTTTAGTTCAATTGACATTGTTTTAGTTAAATTAACGGCATACTGAATTGGAGCAGTGGTGACCTACAGGAATGATTAAAAATGACTCAAATTGAATATAATTTAACACTACGAATTTAACAGTGCTGAAGAAAATAAAAATTTCCATCAGGATTTTTATTAATATAGAAAACAATAGATGGAACAGTGCTAAATTATACTTAATTTGAGTCATTTTTAATCATTCCTATAGGTCGCCCCTGCTTCTACTCAATATATCGTTGACATAACTAAACGAATAAAGTAAAAATAATACTGTTTTGTGTTAAAATAATAAATTTTGACACACATGGTATTTAAAAAATAACAAAACGTTACTTTAACTCAAGGTATTGATTTAAATTAATTTAAATTTCACCTTTTAATATTTAACAGTGAAGACGTGTCTTGTTATTTCTTCCGTTCTTCGAACGAGAATCGCTGCCTTCCAGATTCAGATTGTTATTCGCGAGCCGATAATTTTTGTGGTAATTATATAATGTACAATGTATCTTTTTCGGATATTTCCTTCCCGTCTTTCTTTTCCCGCGTGCTCGCGCGTCGCTTCGCGTCGCGTCGCACACTCACCGTCACGATTGATAGCTTTCCAACGATCGGCCTTTACACTGACCTACATACCTGGCGTAACACAACAGCACTCGGTTGGTGTGCACTCGCGGAATCAAAG